ACAGAACTTATTATAGTCATGTTCCAGTTTGTAGTGTGTGATCAGGTTAGTACTGCCTGTCAACTCTGTGCTACCTAGAGAACACACAGAATTAAAAAGTCAGTACCAAGAGAAGAGATTCTTTTTTTTGTCATTGATCTGGAGGGACAGTGAAGGACTGTAACCTAAATAGAAAAGTGGAAATATTACAAAACTTTAAATTGACTTGTATAATAAGAAACTGAGCAAAAAATAAATGCAGGTGAACATACCCTAATTTGAAAAGTGAAATTTGGAAACTTGGAATCTGCAATTCTTTGAAATCAAGCTTATTGAGCTCCTACATCATACAGCTGTTGTGACTCACACCTGAAACCTGAAGCTAATTGAGTAGCCAAGTTATCCTTTGGGGGGATCATGGTTTAAGGTCAGCCCATACCAAAAGCAAGTGAAACCCCATCACATCTGCCTCTTATGTGGTATGCACAGGCCTGTCATACCAGCTGTAGGAGGTCCATGCCAGCCTGCACAAAATCACAAGACCCTATCTCAAAAATAAAACATGGCTGGCATTGGTGGCTCACAGCTGTAATCCTAACAGGAGGCTGAGATCTGAGGATAGCAGTTTGAAGCCAGCCAGATAGGAAACTGTGAGACTGTGAGATTCTTATCTCCAATTAAGCACCACCTCCAACCCCCACTCCCCCCCCCCAACCAAAAAAAAAAAGCTGGAAGTAGAACTGTGGCTCAAGTGGGAGAATGCTAGCCATGTGTGAAAAACCTCAGGGACCATGCTTAAGCCCTAGCCCCAGAACTGGTACCCCCAGCCTCCAAAAAAGGTGGGGGAAGAGGGGCAGTGACTAGAGGCATGGGTCAAGTGGCAGAGCACCTACCTAGCAAGCACAAGGCCCTGACTTCAAACCCTAGTACACCCACACAATTTTAGAACAATCTGAATTTCAGATTTTCAAAAAAACGGAAGGTGGTTAATTGGAGATTCAGAGATTGACAGACTTCCTGCCTAGCTTCAAACCTCAGTCCTCAGATCTCAAGTCTCCAGAGTAACTAGGATTACAGGATTGAGCCACTGGTACCAAGATCCAGATGTTTTTAGAAGGCAATATTCCTCAACTCAAAAAATCTCAACGGGACTGAGAATATATGGTGTGTTTGACTACTATTTGGAAGGTGCTGGATTAATATCGAGCATCATTAAAAAAAAAATTACAGAAAGGAAGAAAGAAAGAAAGCTAGAAAGAAATGGCTCACTCCTATAATCCTAACTATTCAGGAGGGTGAGATCTGAGGATCAAGATTCAAAGCTAGCCTGGGCAGGAAAGTCTAGGAGACTCCTATCTCCAATTAACCACAAAAAAGTTGAGCTGTGGCTCAAGTGGTAGAGCACTGGCCTTGAGCATAAAAGCTCAGAGCCGTGTCCTGAGTTCAAGCCCCAGCACCAGCATAACAAACAACAACAATAATAACCCCAAGAAAAAAAGTCATGATTATAAGCCACATTTGTACATCCTTAATTAAAATAAGCTTCTTAGAAATTAAAGACCAGGCTCATTAATCTATCTCTCCTTCTCATCACATTTCCCACTCCCATCATGCCTAGCATTTGCTCAGAAAAAATGTATTTGTCAACTGGTTGATATAAATCAATAAGAAGAAGGTAAGGCAAAATAAAGGTTAAAGAAATTGCTAGTGGATACCAATCACCAAAAAAAAACCCCAGAACTCCCCGCCCCCCAAAAAACAGCCACTCTCTTTATACTTATGTGATTGTTTTCATTTTTTTTTTTTTGGGGGGGGGTCAGTTGTGGGTCTTGAACTCTGGGCCTGGGCGCTGTCCCTCAGCTCTTCAGCTTAAGGCAAGTGCTCTACTACTTGAGCTACAGTGCCACTTTCCGTTTCCTTGTGGTTTATTGGAGATAGGAGTCTCACAGTCTTTCCTGCCCAGGCTGGCTTTGAACCTTGATCCTCAGATCTCAGCCTACTGAGTAGCTAGGATTACAGGCGTGAGCCACCGGCTCCCTGCTTGTTTTCACTTACAAAGTACAGAAAGCAAATCCTATCTCATAGGACTGTTTTTTTTTTTTTTTCTTTTTTTCCCCTTGGTGCCAGAACTGGGGCTTGAACTCAAGTCCTGGGTGCTATGCCTTAGCTTTTTCTGCTCAAGGCTGGCATTCTACCAACCTGAGCCACACAGCTCCATTTCCTCCTTTGGGGGATGATTAATTGGAGATAAGAGTCTCACAGACCTTCCTGTCTTGGTCTGACTTCAAATGATAATCTTCAGATCTCAACCTCCACAGTACCTAGGATTGCAGGCATGACCCACCAATGTCCAGGGACCTGTGTTTCTAAATACTATCACACATCAATCATCAGTGTGTTGCAAACTTCCAAGTACTTTTCTAATAGTTATTTCCTTTCAGTCATGATGTGCCAGTAAAGCTTGGGATGAATGAAAAGGTATCTTAGAGACTTACCAGGTCTAAAAACAAGTTTCTAGCTCCTTGAACTTAATTCTTCGTCTTCCTAGCCTCCCTTAGACTTCCATCCCCAAAAATATTCCTGCTGAAATCTTATACATCATTCTCAATTCCTCTTTCTCTTTTATTTCTATCAATTCTTCATTCCTGTCAGCTGTTCCTGTGATATGTATCCTGCAACACTTCTTCACTGCTAAGACCTAGTTGAAACCAGCAATTCTTTCTGCTTGAATAATTTGAATAAATGATTGTTAAAATGGCTTATTTTAATTGGTCTGTGTTAAAATAGCTTCTCTCTGGATTCGGTTTTTGTGTGTGCCAGTCCTGGGGCTTGAACTCTGAGCTTTTGTGCTCAAGGCTAGCATTACAGCTAGCAATACAGCTCCACTTCTAGCTTTTTGGTGACTAATTGGAGATAACAGTTTCATGGACTTTCCTGCTCATGCTGGCTCTGAATGGAGATTCTCAGATCTCAGCCTCCTGAGTAGTTAGGATTAGATGAGCCACTGGCTTCCTTTGGACTTTAAATGCTTTAGAGACCTCCGCTTTTCCTGTGTACTTTATCTAGAAGTCTTCACTGGGATCTAATGGATTTTCTGAACCTCAGATATCACAATCTTTTTGTCCCAACAGGGCTTCTGATCTTTTTTTCTTGATCCAGAACTGTCTGTTCCTCTTAGTTTATGCTCAGTTTTCAGTCAAGTGTTATCTACTGGGAGAAAGTTGTGATCATTCTAGGTTAAAACAGTTCTGCACCTTCAACTATTTATTATGTTTTCTCTTCATGTTATTAAACCAATATCGGATTTATATTGCTTACACCTCTACTGCTGACAAGAAAACTTCAAATGGTCAGCATCTTATCAGTCTTGTCACATTTAACAATGCTTGGATTATATAGTGGTAAATAAATACAGTGGTAAATAGCAGCTTGCTGTTCTGGTAACTGCATTCAAAGCCTCAGACACACCAGGTAGAGTTTGACCTAAGCCAGCCCCTCCTCCCCAATAACGAAAGAATTTGGTTCGATTGTAATCCCTTCTCTGAAGAGAAGAACGGTTAAGTCCTTGGTAAGGTAGGCAATTTGTCCCAAACAAATTGTGGAAGACGAACCTAAAACCTCTCTAGTGGGCCGCTGGTGGCTTACACCTGTTACTCTAGCTACACAAGAGGCGGAGATACGAGGATCGCGGTTCAAAGCCAGCTGGGGCTTGATATTCTTATGTCCAATTAACCACCCCTTCTCTTCCCCCAGCAAAAACTGAAGTGGAGCTGTGGCTCAAGTGGTAGGGAGCGCCGGGCGCTGGTGGCTCACGCCTGTAATCCTAGCTACTCAGGAGGCTGAGATCTGAGGATCGTGGTTCAAAGCCAGCCCGGGCAGGAAAGACCGTGAGACTCCTATCTCCAATAAACCACCAGAAAACCGGAAGTGGCGCTGTAGCTCAAGTGGTAGAGCGCTCGCCTTGAGCTGAAGAGCTGAGGGACAGCGCCCAGGCCCAGAGTTCAAGCCCCACGACCGACAACAACAACAAAAGTGGTAGGGAGCTAGCCTTGAGCAAAAGAAGCTTAAGGTCACTGTCCAGGCCCTGAGTTCAAGCCCCAGTACTAACACAAGGAAAAAAAAACAAAACCACCCAAAAACCCCAAACCCAGATCTCTCAAGTTCTAAACTCAATCACGGATTCTATTTTTAGGTAGTCACAAAATAACAAACGTCAGTGACGAAGCCCAGATTTAGTGAAAGACAATATTCCAGGGATGTTCACCAGACCCGTGGAACCCAGGAGTTTAAATGATCCCTTAATCCTAACCTTCCGATTTAGAACTTGTTGCCTAGGTTACCTCTGTACCCCCCCCCCCCCCTCGCGGCAGGCCGATAGCCACGCCCACAACCTGGTAGCTCTAACACGATTGGCTGGCTTCGGCCAGGCCTAGTACTCACCTGGCAGTTCCCTCATGAGGTAGAAAGGGCCACAACCAGCCGCAGATTTATCGGCTCCCGGAGGGGCCGCAGTCGCGGCTGGGGGCGGGGCCGCCCCAGGACCTCCACCCGGAGGAGGAGGAGGCGGGGGTGGAGGCTTCCCAGGTCCGAAGCCGAGCGCAGTGGGAGGCGGTGGGGGGTCGGCTTGAGCTCCGAACAGCGCCGTGAAATTCTCCATCGTCCCCTCGGCCCTGGCGCTGTCTCGGTGTCTGGCGTTAGTGATTTTCATTGGACAGTCCTCTCATCACGTGCCGCCCACTTCCTTCAAGCGACGCCTGTGATTGGATACTTCAGACTGCACCGTCCCTCTCTTCCTGCAACTATTTCCGTCGCTCTGTGAGAACGTTCCGGAAGTGCTCGCTAACCGTCCCTTCGCTGAAAAACACCCAATCGAATGACTCAGTTGGACTAGCGACTGGTAGATCGTCCAATAAACTATCAAATCCCCCTTGGCAGTCTCGGCCTACCACAGCAGCCCATCAAAATCACTTCCGGGTTCGGAACCGGTGCTTCTGAGATTTGACCCAATAGAAACCTTCATAAGTGAAGGAGGCGGAGCCAGACCTGCAGACGCCGGACAGCGGCAGGGCCGCCGGGGCCTGCAAGATGGCGGTTCTGGCACCTCTCATTGCTCTCATCTATTCCGTGCCGCGGCTTTCACGATGGCTGGCTCGTCCTTACTGCCTTCTGTCTGCCCTGCTCTCTGCTGCCTTCCTTCTCGTGAGGAAGCTACCGCCGCTGTGCAACGGTCTCCCTACCCAACGCGAAGATGGCAACCCGTGTGACTTTGACTGGGTGAGCGCCCCCTGGCTCCGTATCCCGCGACCTTGACTGAGCCTCCCGGGGCTCGCTTTTCTGTAGACACCGTGGGATCTTATGTCTTTAGGGGTACATGTGCCAGCCCTGGGGTTTGAACGCAGAGCCTGGCGCTCTCCCTGAGCATTTGCACGCAAGGCTAGCGCTCTACCGCCTGACCCACAGCTCCGCTAGAGCCAGTTCATTGGAGATAAAAGTCTTATGGACGTTCCTTCCCGGGCTGGCTTCAAACCAAGATCATCACATCCCAGCTTCCTGTGCAGTTAGGATGACAGGTGGGAGCTAATGGTGCCCAGCTAGTAGCTAGTTTTTGTTATAACGGGTAATTGATGATAACTGAGTAACCGTGGTGATCGGGAACTTAAGAGAATGAGGTGAATAACATTGGTTTTAAGAAGGGGGGAGGAGCCCGGTGCCGGTGACTCTTGCCTGTCATCCTAGCTACTCAGGAGGCTGAGATCTGAGGATTGCGGTTCAAAGTCAGTCTGAACAGGAAAGTTCATGAGACTCTTATCTCCAATAAATCACTAGAAAACCGCAAGTGGTGCTGTGGCTCAAGTGGTAGAGGCTAGCCCTGAGCTGAAAAGCTGAGGGACAGCGCCCAGGCCCAGAGTTCAAGACCCACGACTGACAAAGAAAAAAAAAAAGAAGGGGAGAGGGCTGGGAAGGTAGCTTAGTGGTAGAATGCTTGCCTAGCATGCATGAATGAAGCCCTGGGTTCGATTCCTCAGTACCACATCAACAGAAAAAGCCAGAAGTGGCATTGTGGCTCACGTGGTAGGGTGCTACCCTTGAGCAAAAGAAGTTCAGGGACAATGCTCAGGACAGGTCCTGAGTTCAAACCCCAGGCCTGGCAAAAATAAGTACATAAATAAAAAGAAGGGGAGAGGATAGAGAGTGGTAAAATGGTTGAGATTAATTTGGATACATTTATACATGTGTGGAAATGTCACATGGAACTTAATGTGCAACCAATGTATGCTCATTTAAAATTTTTCTCCCAAAAGATTCAAATTATATGTTACACACCAGGATGTGTACCTATAGCCCCAACTACTTAGAAGGCTGAGGGTGAAGTATCATCATTTCAACCTTAGAGTTTGAATTCAACTTGGGCACCATAGACCTTGTTGGCCCTGAAGAGGGAAGGGCAGAGATCCAAACTATAGGAGCACCCAAAGGTGCATTACTCCAGAGATTTCAAGAGTTTCAGAAGTGGTATGACACAGTATGATAATGCTATTGTGGTTGAGTTAAAGTGGATAATACAGTGGAATGGATATAGGTATGGGGTGCCATTTGTAATCCCAGCAGAAGGCTCACAAATTAACTGCCAGTCTAAGATATATGGCAAGACATTGTCTCCAAAGACGAAAACAAAAAATGAGGATGTGGGTATAGCTCAGTAGTAGAGTACCAGTCTAGTATCCATCCCCAGCATTAGAAAACAAAGTGGAAACAAAAGCATCTTTATGTGTAAAGGTTATTTTAGCCAGCTGGGCACTGGTGGCTCATGCCTATAATCCTATGGACAGGGTGAGATCTGAGGGTGGAGGTTCAAAGGCAGTCACAGTAGGAAAGTCCATGGGACTTTAATTCTAGTTTGTCACAAAAAATCCGGAAGTAGAGCTCTGTCTCAAGTTGTAGAGCACTAGCTAGCTTTGAGCAAAAACAATCAGTAGGGCTGGGAAGGTGGCTCAGTTGTAGAGCGCTTGCCTTGCATGCATGAGGCCTTGGGTTCCATTCCTCAGCACCATATAAACAAAAAGAAAAAAGCCGGAAGTGGCGCTGTGGCTCAAGTGGTAGAGCGCTAGCCTTGAGCTGAAGAGCTGAGGGACAGCGCCCAGGCCCAGAGTTCAGGCCCCACGACTGGACCCAAAAAAAAAAACAAAAACCCAAAAACCATCAGTAGCACTTAGAAATAGTGTTTAGTAAAGAAAACCTGTTTGATATGGTGGTACACGGCTGTAATCCCAGTGCTTAGGAGGTAGAGACAGGAGGATTGGGAGTTGGAGTGAGGCCAGCCTGAGCCACATATGAGATCCTGGCTCAAAAATGGAAAAGAGAGCCGGGTGCTGGTGGCTCACGCCTGTAATCCTAGCTACTCAGGAGGCTGAGATCTGAGGATCGCGGTTCAAAGCCAGCCCGGGCAGGAGAGACGGTGAGACTCCTATCTCCAATAAACCACCAGAAAACCGGAAGTGGCGCTGTAGCTCAAGTGGTAGAGTGCTCGCCTTGAGCTGAAGAGCTGAGGGACAGCGCCCAGGCCCAGAGTTCAAGTCCCACGACCGACAAAAAAAAAAAATAAATAAATGGAAAAAGATGGGCTGGGAAGGTGGCTTGGTGGTAGAGCGCTTGCCTTGCATGCATGAGGCCCTGGGTTCGATTCCTCAGCACCACATAAGCAGGAAAAAAAAAAAAGCCAGAAGTGGCACTGTGAGTCAAGTGGTAGAGAGCTATCCTTGAGGTGAAGAGCTGAGGGACAGCGCCCAGGCCCAGAGTTCAGGCCCCATGACTGGACCCCCCAAAAAAATAAGGAAAAGAGAGCCTGGTGCCAAGGGCTCACATCTGTAATCTTAGCTACTCTGGAGGCTGAGATCTGAGCATTTCAGTTTTGAAGCCAGCCCAGGCAGAAGAGTCACCATGAGACTTACCTCAATTTGAGCTGTGGCTCAAATGGTAGAGTGCTAGCTTTGAGCACAAAGAGGCTCAGAGACAGTGCCCAGGCCCTGAGTTCAAGCTCTAAGACTGACAAAAAAACAAAAACAAACAAACAAAAAGAAACAGAAAAGAAAAGAAAAATGGAAAGGCATGGAGAGAGAGAGAAAGAAACCAAAGCTCAGGGGTTAAGTGATTTGCCTGTCCCTTCTGACTTGTTTTCCCCACTACACCCTAGCCAACTCCAGTTCCTTCTTTATTATCACCATTCCCTATTTGGATCTCTGTTGTCTTACTCCATATTTGGATCACTTACCCCCTTTTTTCCCTATCAGCTCTGTTTGATGCATTCCTGTTACTGATTTTGTTCCAGAGAGAAGTAGAGATCCTGATGTTTCTCAGTGCCATTGTGATGATGAAGAATAGAAGATCCAGTAAGTCTAATCTTTTTCTTAGTCTATCAGAGTTAGACCTAATGCCCTCTGGAAGTGCTTTCTTTTTGTCATAAGAAGGAAATTATTTGCTGAACATAGGCCTACACTGTATGCTAAGGCTGAGTTTGTTCTTGAGTCCTATCCCATACATCCCTCTCCAATGTCAGCCTGACCTATGGTTTCTCTCTGTTTCAGTCACTGTGGAGCAACATGTAGGCAACATCTTCATGTTTAGTAAAGTGGCAAATGCAATTCTTTTCTTCCGCCTGGATATTCGAATGGGACTTCTTTACATCACACTCTGCATAGGTGAGGAAACTTGCCTTTATTAATGAGTTCTTCACAAAGAACTTTATTATATGAATTCTTTGACAAAAGACTTAATTGGACCAAGTTCCCATTCAAAACAGTTTCTCTCTCTCTCTTTTCATTTCATTATCTTTATTTTTCTTCTTTCTTTTCTTTTTTTCCCCAGTCCTGGGGTTTGAACTCAAGGCATGGGTGCTGCCCTTGAGCTTCTTTTGCTCAAAGCTAGCACAATACCACTTGAGCTGCAGCTCCACTTCTGGCTTTTTTGGTAGTTTATTGGAGATAAGATCCTCACAGATTTTACTTCCTGGGCTGGTTTTGAACCTTGAGCCTCAGATCCCATCCTCCTGAGTAGCTAAGTTTACAGACATGAGCCACTGGTGCCTGGCTTTATTATTATACTTAAGTAATTGTACAAAGGAGTTGCCATTTAGCAAAGTGGTTTATGGATACAGTATATCTTGATCAATGTCACCCCTTTCAACATTCTCACTCCACCCTTCCCTTCACTCTTCTTAATTTTCGAGGATGTACATTGGATTCTAGTCTGCATTTTCCCCCTCTTCTCTTTGCTCATCAATCCTTTTCCCCTTGACCTACCCTACCCATTTCGAGAACTAACACCTGATTCTTTAAGAGGAAGGGACTGTCAGTGGGGGTGGGGAGGGGTATCAATTGTGGGGCTTGCACTCAGGGTCTGGGTGCTGTCCCTGAGCCTCTTTGTGCTCAAGCTAGTGCTCTACCACTTGAGCCACAGCACCACTACCAGTTTTTGAGTGGTTTATTGGAGATAAGAGTCTCATAAGGGCTTTTCTGCTGGGGCTGGCTTTGAACCATGATCCTCAGATCTCAGCCTCCTGAGTAGCTAGGATTACAAGCATGAGCCACCAGTGCCTGGCATGAAAGTATAGATTCTTTAGTGACTTAAATTCTTAAGATGGTCTAAAAGTAAATGCTCTAAGTAAGGCCTAGCTTTTCCCTCTGACATCTTTTTTTCTGTATTCAGTGTTTCTGATGACCTGCAAACCTCCTCTGTATATGGGCCCTGAGTACATCAAATACTTCAGTGATAAAACCATCGATGTAAGTGTTCTTCCTGCCTTTTAGTTCTTGGGTCCTTGGTTTGTAATTTTTGTGCTTTCTGCTCACTAGGAATAAACATAGTACTTTCAAATGGAAGTCAGAGGTATAATGGTTCATTGTGGGAGCTAGGGGAGAAGGGGAGCTGGGATAAGAAATTTGAGTATAAGATTTGAATAGTTCCAGATGCCTAGGTGATCCAGTCTACTGTTTATTCCATTTGTGTGGCAGGAAGAACTGGAGCGGGACAAGAAGGTCACTTGGATTGTGGAGTTCTTTGCCAATTGGTCTACTGATTGCCAGTCATTTGCTCCCATCTACGCTGACCTCTCCCTCAAGTGAGTGGATAAAGAGAGGGATGGTGGAACTTGAAATGTTCTTCCCTGTCACTTTTGGCTGTGGTTTTGCACCTTGCAACCAAAGATGTTTTTCTCTCTCGTCCTGAGATACCTATATTTCTACTCATCTTGATCCATTGTTTCTTTTTTAGTATGTTAATAATATATTCTTAGGTACAATTGCACAGGCCTAAATTTTGGGAAAGTGGATGTCGGACGCTACACTGATGTTAGTACACGGTATGTAAAGAGCTGGGGGCAGAGGGTCAGCGGGGATGTGCTTTGAGCAATGTATACAAGTGTACTAAGATTCCTTTCTGGACCTTGTAGTTACAGAGTGAGCATATCACCCCTCACTAAACAACTCCCCACCCTGATCCTGTTCCAAGGTGGCAAGGAGGTAATGCGGCGGCCACAGATTGACAAGAAAGGACGAGCTGTCTCTTGGACCTTCTCTGAGGTATGCTGAAGTGGTCTGGAAAAGGGAAGAATAGTGGACGTTAAGCCTAACCTAGGTTTGATTCCCAGCTCTGCCATTTGCTTAGTATTGTGAGGATCTAGACTAGTTACTAGACCTCACTATTCATTCACTTCGAAAATTTATGTTACGTGCCATCTTTCTAGTAGTCTGGAACAGTTAATAGTAAAGATCACTAAGCCAGGCATGGTGGCACACTTTAATCCAAGCATTCTGGAGGCTGAGAGAGGAGAATCGTGAGTTCAGTAATAGCTGGAATACATAGTTCCTGGCCAGCTTCAGCTACATAATAAGCGTGCCCCCCACACTTACCCCTGGTCTGGGGGGAAAAACAAAACAAAACAAAAACAAGATTCAGTCTCTAAGGCCCCTAAAAGTTCCTTTAGTAACTTGTAAACAGTAACCTGGCTCACAGAATTGCTTTACAGTTGCATGTAGGTATCATTGTTATAATTGTTAGCATTTCAGTTGTCTTTTCTGGATACTTGAAGAAGAGGAACAATTAGGGCAGATTTCCTCCCTTGTTCCTAGACTGTAACTACATATTTGCTTCTCAAGCTCAGAGCCAAGGTCTTCCAACCTAAATTCTGATGTATGTGTCTCTTTTGCATAGGAGAATGTGATTCGTGAATTTAACTTGAATGAGCTCTACCATCGAGCCAAGAAGCTATCAAAGGGTGGAGACCAGGTCCCCGAGGAGGAGGAGCCCAAGGCCTCCACTCCTACCACAGTGCCATGTAGAGAAAGCAAGAAGGACAAGTAGGATCTCTTCAATGGCTTTGCATCTTCTGTCAATTCCTGGCACCTTGGAGGCTGAGCTCCTGTGGTACACAACTCTTGACCTAAGGCCACAGCCTTTTATTTGTTTCTCTTGTTTGGCTGTTCTTGGGTCGGGCAGGTACTGTTTCTGATTTTAAAGAGGCTGATGGGGGAACTTGTTGAGGACCCTACTGGAAGGCCTGCCCACCTTGCCAAGACTTTGAGATCTCATGGAGAAGGAAATGGGTTCCCACTAAGTTAGGTCAGTGTGTAAAAGCTACCCACCCCTCAGGATATCACCAGTCTGTGGTTTCATTGTTTTCTCCTAGTGGACCTGCTCAGCCAAGGCTAGACTAAACCCTAATGCTAGGTGGCCAGAATATAGAACACTAAGCACCCTTGCTTTCCTTAGGCCTTTGTGGCTTGCTCTGTGGCATTAAAAATATTTAAGCCTAAATTTGTCAGTAATCCCAAGAAGAAACCTTTAACCACAGAGTTTTCATCTTTGAAAATAGTATTGATCAAGCCCTCTGTTAGGAGGGGGTTCAGAGGAAGGGGAATTTTGCATAATAAAGAAAGTGGGATTGTCTTTTGAGTCTTATGTTTCTCAGCAATACATGTCCAGCCCTTTCCTGTGTTTCCATTGAGCTATACACTTCCAACCCTTTGTTCCCCATTATTTTTTACTTATTTTGGAGCGGAAGTGTTACCAGTGGGTGTTCACAGAGGTGAAGATTCCAGATTCTTTTTTTTTTCTCTTTTGTCGGTTATGGGGCTTGAACTCTGGGCCTGGGCGCTGTCCCTCAGCTCTTCAGCTCAAGGCTAGCGCTCTACCACTTGAGCTACAGCGCCACTTCTGGTTTTCTGGTGGTTTATTGGAGATAAGAGTTTCACGGACTTTCCTGCCCTGGCTGGCTTTGAACTGCAATCCTCAGATCTCAGTCTCCTAAGTAGCTAGGATTACAGGCATGAGCCACTGGCACCTGGCTAGATTCCAGATTCTTGACAACAAAGAACTGAATAAAGACACACACAAGGGCTAGGAATATGAGTTAGTGGTAGAGTGCTTGCCTAGCATGCATGAAGCCCTGGGTTTGATTCCTAGGTACCACATAAACAGAAAAGGCCAGAAGTGGTACTGTGGCTCAAGTGGTAGAGTGCTAGCCTTGAGCAAAAGAAGCTTAGGGACAGAGCTCAGGCCCTGAGTTCAAGCCCCAGAAGTGGTGTGCCCTCTCCCCCCCCAAAAAAAAGACAAAAATGCAATTTGGTGAAGCAAGGAGTTTAGTAGGAAAATATTTCCTGCTCCCCACGCAGGAAATGGGCGTCAAAATCTCAAAATGACAAAACACTAACTGCTGCCTTTGTTTCTGAGCTAGGGGAATACACGTGTTCTTAAGGTCCAGCAACCCCCAACCCTTAAGCATTCCTTCTGGGTAGCCGAGTTGAGTGTTACCTAGTATTCCAAAATACAGAGATGTCTCTGGGCCTACAGCCTGCCCATTTAGGGATGTCAAATTACCATTTAAAAAGATTAGGCAAGTTCCTTTGTGTCATCACTGTCCTTAGAATATTAGCATTTAAATGGAAGAAAGTTTAAACTACTTTGTTGCTTCCTGGTTCCAACTTCTTGAGAACTGGCCCTCTTATTTACTGAAAATAATATAATTTCCCAGTCTCCTCACTTCATTTCTTCTCCCACCCCGCCTCACACTTTGGACCCTTTTAATCTTAAAAGGAGGTGCAGAGGGAAGAGAAAGAACTCCTAGGTGTCCCCTGGGGCTGCCCAGGAGAGGGGGTGGTTTCAGCCTGCTGATCCCTTGAGAAGGATCTTTCTGCCTCGGCACGGGAGGATCTGGGGCTTGAAGCACCTGCTACTCTACCTAAATGCGCTTTTTTTTTTTTTTTTTTTTTTTTGATCATTCTCTATTACAAAAGTGTTTGGCTGGGCTAGGGCTGGACGCCTAATTCCTAACAAGGAAGGACAGACACTGCCGGGTTCGTTTGGGATTGACCTACGGGCCGCAGAGGGGAGGGCTTTGCGGGACGGCGGAGGTACAAAGAACTCGGAGAGCCGGTGGTTGCATTGCAGACCCGCCCCCAGACTTGAACGGGCGGACGCTGCGCTCGGAGCCGCCGTGGCCCCTCCCCCCGCCGGCCGCGTGGTGGCGCCCGGAAGTCCCGCCTCCAGCGCGCGCGGCCGCCGGGCCCCTTGTCTGTGCTCACCTGGAGGCGGTCTGGCTGTGGGAGCTGGGGCTCTGCTCCGCGCTCGGGGCCCGGCACCAGCTGAGCCCGCGGGTGTTCCCCCAGCAGTCGCACCCCTCGTCAGCCCGGCTCCGGGCCGTGTCGTAGGCGCCATGGCTCCTCGCGGGAGGAAGCGCAAGGCCGAGGCGGCGGAGGTGGAAGCGGCGGATAAGCGGGGGAAGGCGGCGGAGGAGGCGCAGGAGGCGGAGGTCGTCATCGAGCATTGGTGAGGCGCCTGGACAGGCGCGGGGCGGCGGGGCGCGGCGGGGGCCGGCGGGGAGGAGGCGCAGGAGGCGGAGCTCGTCATCGAGCATTGGAGAGGCGCGGGGCGGCGGGGGCCGGCGGGGGCGGGAGGCGGAGGTCGTCATCGAGCATTGGAGAGGCGCGGGGCGGCGGGGGCCGGAGGGGGCCGGCGGGGCGGGAGGCGGAGGTCGTCATCGAGCATTGGAGAGGCGCCTGGAGAGGCGCGGGGCGGCGGGGCGCGGCGGGGGCCGGCGGGGAGGAGGCGCAGGAGGCGGAGGTCGTCATCGAGCATTGGAGAGGCGCGGGGCGGCGGGGGCCGGAGGGGGCCGGCGGGGCGGGAGGCGGAGGTCGTCATCGAGCATTGGAGAGGCGCCTGGAGAGGCGCGGGGCGGCGGGGCGCGGCGGGGGCCGGCGGGGAGGAGGCGCAGGAGGCGGAGGTCGTCATCGAGCATTGGAGAGGCGCGGGGCGGCGGGGGCCGGCGGGGCGGGAGGCGGAGGTCGTCATCGAGCATTGGAGAGGCGCGGGGCGGCGGGGCGCGGCGGGGGCCGGCGGGGAGGAGGCGCAGGAGGCGGAGGTCGTCATCGAGCATTGGAGAGGCGCCTGGAGAGGCGCGGGGCGCGGCGCGGGCGGCCGGGGCCGGCGGCGGGGTCTCCGGGGTCTCTCTGTGTCCGGGCCCCGTTCCCCACCTCGCTGTCTCTCCCCACCCAGCACGAGCTGACGGGTGTACGGGCGCCACGCCGAGGCCGTGCGCCAGGCGCTGCGCCGGGCGGCCCCCGCGCTGCCGGTGAAGCTGAACCCCGCCAAGCCCCGCCGGGGCAGCTTCGAGGTGACGCTGCAGCGCCCGGACGGCAGCAGTGAGTGGGGCGAGCACCCCGGAAGCGGGAGTTTCCGGCCCGAGGCCGCGGGGGAGGCGCGTGCGGCGCTCCCAGTGACTGTTTTCGTTTGGGTCCGCTCCTAGGCGCCCAGCTCTGGACTGGGATTAAGAAGGGGCCTCCGCGCAAACTCAAATTTCCGGATCCAGGAGAGGTGGTGGAAGAACTGAAGAAGTGCCGCGCCTAAGGCCGCCTCCTGCCGAGGTTTGAAATGGGAGACGCGAGGTTCCCTTGGGGAGTCTGCCCGGATGGGACACCCTCTAACAAAGAGGCCTTTAAGGAACGCCGCCCTACCTGGCACCTCCTTCTGTGGTGCTGCCGCTCGAGCTAGGCCGTGCCATAGTGACGGCCATGAGCTGCCTTTCGGAAGTGCCCTGTGTCCTCTGCGGATACTGACCAGACTTGAATTTGTTTGAGTATTCATTTTTTTCGAATTCCTGATGGTTATTTTAATTCCTTGAATCCCCTAGAAATATTACTGGTCTTCCATGAGTTAAAACGCCCTATTTGACACATGCTTTTTTACTTGCGTTAGTGACTTTTCCCTTTTACTGGCAGATCTTTCTTGTTACTTCACCTGCACCTACCCTAAAACTCTTCTGGTTTTTATTCCTAATGTGTTACCTGTCCCATGTGATAACCCCGAAGGAATCACAATACTCCACTCTTAGCCAACAAGCATTTGATTCTCTGTACTCTGTGCATCATTTGGGGGTTTGGAGGGTGGCCTGGCACTTGGGTATAATTGAATGTGGGGGAGGATACAGTCCCTGTGTTCTGGGTTTGAACTCAAGCCTTCTTGGTCTTTGGCTGCCTGGACACCTTCTTTAACATTTCCCTTCTCCTTTTTGCAGCTTTCAGTCCCTGATGTGTTGGAGCATTTATGACGGGACATGGCCAAAACTTCAGTCATGTACCTGAAATCATGGTTCCTTCATCTCTAGAAATGATGGCTCAGTTATGAGGCAGCTCTCCAGTGAGGCATTGTAAAAGTGTTTGGATTTAGTTTAATAAAAGCTGAAATAAAAGTATCCTGAGTAGAATTTAAATTTTATGTGAAGGGATGGATGGCGCCATCCACATGGGATTGGTGCTTCTTGCATTTTTCAGAGTGCAGAGTACCATTTAGCCTGGAACTCACTGGGTCTCTGGTAAAGCATGCAAAATACTTGAAAAAACCGGAAACACATTCAGGTGCTCACTGACTGAAGTCAGCCTGGGAAGAAAAGTCTCCGATTCCATCTCCAATTAACCAAGGAAAAAAAGCCAGACTGGAGATGTGTCTCATGTGGTACAGCACCAGCTCTGAGCAAGAAAGCCCAATGAGAACAGGAGGCCCTGAATTTAAGCACCTGGCAAACAACAACAAAAAAACCCTATGGGAGCAAAGTAACTGGTAACTTTTTTTTTTAAAGGGAGGAAGGATTGTCTTCCGGAGATATCAACTAGACTTCTCTATTGGCATTGAATAAGCCCACAAACATTGTGTGCTGGGCCATGTCCCTCTCATTCACTTATTGTTCATCTTTATGCCTTCTGGAACATGGTTTTTAAAGCTAACCCTACTGAGAGTTTTCTTGTATTTCCTGAGTTTGCAATGACTAGATACTGGTCTTGGCTATTACCTATAACACACTCCACTTGGGGACCATACAGTTTTATTATTTCACTTGTCTTGTCAAAACTGAAAGATTGCAAAGAAATAGTTCAAGTTCATAATTTTCTACATATATTATTACTACTTATACCTGTGGAGGGGAGAAAGGGACTTACAAAGAGCCAAGGTACACTTGCCTCTGTGCTAAGAGGAGAAGGCATGTGCTAGTTTGCCAGTAAGTCTTTTTGCTGGTCAACATATCCACTCTCCCGGGGCCCCTAACCTGCCCTCCCACCTCTGCTACGTTAGTATATCTACTTCTGTTTCTGACTCTGAGGAAGGGTCAGGCCGTACAGAGGGAATGCCAATGGGCTCCAGCCTCTCTGCTGTCCAGTCCACCACATCAATCTCTTCCTCTTCAGGACTGGTCGGGTGTGAGCCTAGCAGCTCGGAGTTACCAAATACTTCTTTGCCTACTTCGGGAGCAGGGTACAACACCTCATTCATAGTTAAGGACATGTCTAGCCCAGTCTCTGCCCAGTTTGAACATGGAGGTGAGAGGTTCCCATAAGACCTTTGTGGCGGGTCAGAGGAGTGGATGTGGAGCAGTTTATCTCCCTGACCATCCAGTGGCTGGGAGTTGGCAATTTCAAGATGTGGAGTCCAGGAGCCTCCCACAGAAAGAACCTCTCCTTCACTCACCTCAGAGGGCATGACAAAGGGGCTCAGGGGCTCAGCTGGCTCTTTGTTTTCACCAACAGGTTCTTTTTCCAGTCCTGTGAGCTCCCTGGGCCAGAGTTCCATGTCTGGCAAACACCATTCTTCCCCTTGGATCCAGTCCTTTCCTGTTTCTGTCAGGTGATAGCTGGGGGTCCTACAGCCCTCAGCCCCAGGACTCTGGAGGGACTCCCCAGGTGGTTCAATGTCTGAGCCACATAGCATGAAGTCCAGGATCTCTTCCAGTTCACTGGTGGCTGCGGCACCTGTGATTCGGTACTCCTCAGCTTCGCAGGGTTGCCCCAGCAGCGTCGTGTCAAATGCATAGGGTTCTCTGCAGTCAATATTCAGCACAGGTTCTTTCCCTAACAGCTCTGGACTGGATGCAAACTCAGGCTTCATCACAGCATGGTCTGGGGACTGGCTGGCAGACAGAAGTATGTCTTGTAGCCCAGGCCCCTCGGGGGAGTCCTGACACAGTTCTATTCTGGCAGGTAACATTTCCTGCTCATTAATTGATGATGACTGAGTTCCTGGAGGTTCTTCCAAGTCTCCTTTGGGTTCTGGAAGCTGGGGGCTATTTTGAGAGTTTTTGAGGGGAGGCTCTTGTACCACTTCCCAGCAGGTCCCATTGACAATCTTCCTAAGTTTCACGATCCCAATCTGCCCTTCCTCTGCTGGGTCTAAGTTGGATGCTCTGACTTCAGGGCTCCGCTTCTTGCACCCACCTGTCCCAAGACCAGATGGATTTGGAGTGCTCTGCAGAGGACTAACTTTTCCTGGTTTCGTCTTGTCCTCTCCCTGCACTTCTTTACTCACACTCCTCTGCCGCCAAAGACGCCGGCCAGGGGCTGTGGGCACTGAGCTGGGTCCACTTAAAATGTTGGAAGGTTTTGATGCAGGGACATCAGGAGATAGCTTTGAGCGACTTAGCCTGATCTTTCTGGGCAACAGGCGCTCATCCACAGAGGGATATAAGCTGGGAGGGGAAAGTGTTGTCGAACCAAGGACAGGGTCATTCTTGTTCTCCTTAGGCCCCTGGCTGTGGCTTGATGGAGAAGAGCTTTTTTCTTGCGGAGAAGGACAGACTCTGGCCTTCCTTTTGAGCAGAGGAGCATCAGACAAGTTCTCTGCATTTGGCAGGCTGCTTTCTTCCTGGAGCTCCTCCTCCTTCCCTAGGGACTTCAACTTCACTGCCCCAAGAGGACAGGGAGACTGCGTAACAGGCAATGGAGTTCGAGGGCGGCGGCCGGGTGCCACCACTCTGGCAGAGATTGGTGCTGGACTTGGTGGCTGTAAACACTCTCGGTTCAGTCTTCGGCCCTGTGGAGCCTTCACTAACTTTCCACCTTCTAGCTGAAGGGTTTCCAGCTCAGATACACGGAGCTGACGGGCAGCAGAAAGCACATCTTGGGCTTCTTCTCGAGATACTTCCATCTCTGAGGTATACAGGAAGTCTACCAGCTTCCTAAGTGTCCTGATTTTCAGGCCCCCCAGCTCCAGCACCACCTTCCGACCCTGAATTGGCCTTTCTCTCTCCAGGCGTTCTGTGAAGAAGGGGCTGCAAGCTGACAGGATGCAGCAGTGAGCTGGTACGGCCTCACCTGGGGAGGAAACACACGTTTTTCTTATACAGACTGGCATGTTCATAAACTATACACAGACCACCCCCCCCCAAAAAAAAAAACTGACCGCTCTGTGGAATTTCAATGAAAAGAAAATGATTCCTTTTGCCTGCCTGGGACCTACCAATAATTTTTGCTAGCTAACTTGATTCCCCCCCCCCCCCAACCCACTTTATTCAGCACTAAGATCCTGAACCACAGGGTGGGGGCAGGGCAGACTCAGTCCTCACACTCAAGGCCAGGGAAATCCTGGAGAAAATGGTCACCCACTGAGGTGTTATCCCTGAAAAAGTGAGTCTAAACATGCCTGCATCTATAATCCCTGAACTCGTTTCTGACTACCTGTGCTGGACTTTCATCCCTGGGACTAGATAATCTACACACAACAATGCTGCAGGAAACCACACTACTGCTACATCACAAGTTTTGTGAAATTCACTTACTGGAGAAAATATGAAGCGAGGAGAAGCCAAAGATACAGCAAGGTGACGCACCAGAGTGGCCTGGTGATGCCTGGGGGAGGAACTAACTTGATTTTTCATCCTCTAAAACCTAGCTTACATCATTACCTTCAGAAAGCCTTTCTTTAGCCCACTGCAAGCTTTGGTTAAGTGTTCCTGAGCACATAGAGGTCCTCTAGCTATTACCATTTCCACTATTACACTGAAAGCTCTATGGAAAAGATGTCTGTCTTACTCACTGAAGTATTTCCAGTACTTGCCTCAAAGTGGGTATAAAAGAACAGGCAAAGAGTTCTAAGTAAGGCCAACCAAGCTCAAAAACAAAACAAAATCAAGATACCACCTAGGCACTAGTGGTTCACTTCTGTAATCCTAGCTACTCAGGAGGCTAAGATCTCAGGATCCCAGTTTGAAGCTAGCTCAGGCAGAAAAGTCCCTAAGATTCTTCAATTAACCAGCACAAAGGCAGAAGCGGAGCTGTGGCTCAAGTAGTAGAATGTCATTCTTGAGACTAAATGCTTAAGGGATAGCTCCCAGGCCCTGAGTTCAAGCCCAGTACCACCATAAACAAAAAAGAAAATTAATATTTTTTTCCACCAAAAGATTTGTGTGTGTGTTTGAATCTTGAATTCAAGGCCTTGTGCTCTCGCTTCGTTTTTTCACTCAAGGCTAATGCATTACCACTTCTAGCCACAGCTCCACTTCCAGTGTTCTGGTGGTTAATTGGAGAAAAGAGTCTCACTAACTTTTCTGCCTGGGCAGCCTTTGAACTACTATCCTCAGATCTCACCCTCTTGAGGAGGTAGGTTACAGGGATGAGCCACTAGTGCTAGACTTTCAAAGATTTATTAGCATGTATTGTACAAGTATGAAGGAGGTTCATTGTGACATCTTCATAAATACATTGGACCCCTCTCAAACTCACCCTCATGACTACTTGCAACAACTTCAACTGTGCTCATACATGCATATTAAGTACACGTGTACTGCTTGCTGAATGAATTTTATTGACTCATTGAGAGTTCAAAGAAATATACAGGAGCAGCTTATGGGTCTAACTCGAGGGAAGGTGGAGGACAATCGGTTCAGTTCAAGCTAATTTTCATTTCAGAGACACTTCCCACATACTCATAGTTCTTTCCATGGTTTCAATTACCAAAACATCGATGATGACTCCCAAATCCATATCTCTATGTAGACATCTTTCCTGAGATACCAAACATGTTACAACCTGCATGTCTTCATGGATGTCCCACCAGTACAATCTTCCTAGAAAAATATCACTAGGAGTGGTGGTAATAGCAGTACTCAGGAGGTGAGGCTGGAGGGCTCAAAGTTCAAGCTTTGAGAGACCGTCTCAAAATACCAAATAAAGCCAGGTGCCAGAGGCTCTCACTTGTAATCCTAGCTATTGGGAGGCTGAGATCTGAGGACTGCACTTTGAAGCCAGTCCAGGCAGGAAAGTCTTTGAGACTCTTCTTTCCAATTACCTACCAAAAAGACAGAACTAGACTGTGGCTTCAGTAGTAGAGTGCTAAGCATGAGCACAAAAGTTCAAGGACAGTGTCCAAGCTTTGAGTTCAAGCCCCAGAACTGGCACAAAAATTAAAAAATAAAAAGCCTGGCTCACACCTGTAATTCTGGCTACTTAGAAGGCTGAGATCTAAGAGTGAGATTCGAAGCCAGCCCAGGTAGAAAAGTCCCCAAGATTCTTTTTGTTTTGCCAGACCTGGGGCTTGAACTCAGGGCCTGGGTTCTGTCCTGAGCTGCTTTTTTTGCTCAAGGCTAGCACTCTACCACTTGAGCCACAGTGCCACTTCTGGCTTTTTTTGTTTATGTGGTACTGAGGAATCAAACCCATGGCTTCATGCATACTAGGCAAGCAATCTATCACTAAGCCACATTCCCAGCCCCAAGTCTCCAAGATTCTTATCTCCAATTAACCAGTAAAAAGCCAGAAGTGGAGCTATGGGTCAAGCAATAGAACACTAGCATTGAGCAAAAAAGCTAACAGAAAGCATAAGGCCTAGTGTTCAAGTCCAGTATCAGCATAAAAAAAGAAAAAGCTTTTATTCCATTCCATACCTCCAAGTCTCCCTACTATCTACATCAAATAAGGTACTGTATTCATTTATCAAAGCCCCAAAACTAGAAGTCATCAGATAGTCCCTTACCTCCAATATCTAATGAAATATCAGTTTTACAAATGACCAATTCTTCTTGAGTCCTTATATGTGCAACCTGGCATTGTTCTAAGGGTTTTACTGGTATTAATTCATTGATTCTTTTTTTTTGTTGTTGGTCATGGAACTTGAACTCTGAGCCTGGGCACTGTCCCTCAGCTCTTCAGCTCAAGGATAGTACTCTACCACTTGAGCCAGAGCATCACTTTGGCTTTTTCTGTTTATGTGGTACTGAGGAACCGAACCCAGGGCGTCATGCATGCTAGGCAAACACTTTACCATTGAGCCACCTTCCCAGCTCAATTAATCGATTCTTTACTGCAACCTTGTAAAATACCTAATGGTACTGTAAGTTACTAAACAGGCAGAGTTAAGTAACATGCCCACACTTACGCAGAAAGTAGGAGAAACAAAATTTGAAGCTAGAGGGTATACTACAAAGTCTATGCTCTCATGGTGAACAAATTATAAATTCTCATCAATAGCTTACTCTATTCTCTCCTAGTTTATAAAGTGGCTTTCTACCTGAGCTCAATACCATCCAATAATTCTCATACAGCCTGAATGTCATTTCTAAAGTGGGAATATGAACCTGACCTGCTTAAAGCTATTCTGTAGTCTCCAGTGTCATAAGGCAAACTCCTACTTCCTTTATATGACACTGTAGACCTAACATGATTGCTCATGTCTACAGCCACCTCCAGTCAATAAACATATAACCTGTGTTTAGGCCAGATGAAGTATTCACAACCCCCAGGTCCATCTCTCTCTCTGTCCATGTTCTCTCTCTCCAGAAAAACCTTTTCTGAGCCGGGTGCCAGTGGCTCATGCCTGAAATCTAGCTACTTAGGAGGCTGAGATCTGAGGATCAAGTTTCAAAGCCAGCCTGGGCAGTAAAGTGTGTGAGACTCTTTATCACCAAGAAAACTACCAAAAAAGAGCCAGAAGTGGCGCTGTGGCTCAAGTGGTAGAACATCCCCTTGAGCTGAAGAGCTCAGAGACAGCAAAAAAGCCGAAGTATAGCCGTGTCTCAGCTTAAGTGGTAGAGTGCTAGCCTGGAGCTTAGAGCCCAAGCCCAGAGTTCAAGTCCCGGAAGGCAAAAGAAAGAAAAACCTTTCTGCACTTCCTTCTCCTGCTGTTTGTCCTTTAAATCTCACTTTAGAGATTATTTCCTCCGAGAAAATTTGTTTAACCTTGTTCCTCAGGCTCCCCAAGTCTGTGAAGAATTCTTTACTTTTGTGTTCCTATTGCAACCGACATTTGCCAATTATACTTTTAATATACTGCAGTTACTTGAGTGCATTGACTATTTGAATATCATCTTTAGGAGAAGGGACTTTATCTATGAATGAGCTAACACAATGTTTAACTTACAACAGACAACTGATGCGTTTTTTGTTTGTTTTTATTTTTGTGAGTCATGGACCTTAAACTCAGGGCCTGCACACTGTCCCTGAGCTTTTTTACTCAAGGCTAGTGCCCTAACATTTTGAGCCACAGCACCACTTCGTTTTCTGGCAGTTAACTGGAAAGTCCCACGGACTTTCCTGCCCCAGCTGGCTTTACACCATGAGCCTCCTGAATAACTAGGATTATAGTGTGAGCCACCAGCGCCTAGCTCTGATGTCTATTTTGAATCAGAAAGTTAATCTGGGTTCTACACTTACTAAGAAAACCAATTCACTTATCTGTAGAAATAGAATCAAATGATAGTGATTATCTCACAAAACTGTCAGATTCAAATCAGACACAAAACTCTGTATTCTGTTAACTGTATAGTATATTATGTTAGCCATCAAAATCCTTTTATTTAGGCACTGGGGTTTGAATTCAGGATGCTGTGCTGCCTGGGTCATGCCTCCTGTGTGTGTGTGTGTGTGTGTGTGTGTGTGTGTGTGTGTGTGTATGTGTGTGTGTGTGTGTGTGTGTGTGTGTGTGTGTGTGTGTGTGTGTGTTACCAATACTGGGACTTTATTCAGCTCTCTTGATATTCTACCACTTGAGACATACCTCATGATTACAGATATGAGCCAACATTCCCAGCTTGATTTTTTTTTTTTTTGTCAGTTGTGAGGCCTGAACTCTGGGCCTGGGCGCTGTCCCTTAGCTCTTCAGCTCAAGGCTAGCACTCTACCACTTGAGCCACAACACCACTTCTGGTTTTTTCTGCTTATGTGCTACTGAGGAATCAAACCCAGGGCCTCATGCATGCAAGGTAAGCACTCTACCACTGAGCCACCTTCCTAGCCCTTCCCAGCTTACTTTTTAAGAGGAAAAAGTATAATCATAATTTCACTTTTTTTTTTCCTGCCAGTCCTGGGGTTTGAATTCAAAGTCTGGGTTCTGTCCCTGAGCCTCTCTGTTCTTAGGGCTAGTGCTCTACCACTTGAACCACAGCACTACTTCTTGCTTTTTCTGTTTATGTGGTACTGAGGAATAGAACCCAAGGCTTCATGCATGCTAGGCAAGCACTCTACCACTAAGCCATATTACTAGCCCCAATTTCACTTTTTTTGGTGCCAGTACTAGGGCTTGAAGTTAGGGCTTGGGTGTTGTCCCACACCCTTTTTTTTTTTGGCCGGTCGTGGGACTTGAACTCTGGGCTTGGGTGCTGTCCCTCAACTCTTCAACTCAAGGCAGCACTCTACTGCTTGAGCCACAGCACCACTTCCGGTTTTCAGGTGGCTTATTAGAGATAAGTCTCACTGACTTTCCTGCCTGGGCTGGCTTTGAACTGTGATCTTCAGATCTCAGCCTCCTGAGTAGCTAGGATGACAGGTGTGAGCCACTGGCGTCCGGCTTTGTCCCTCAGCTTTTACAGTCAAGGCTAGTGCTCCACCACTTGAGCACCAGCTGTCCCTTTTTGTTTGTTTGTTTGTAGTTAACTGGAGACAAGCGTCTCAAGGACTTTATTGCCCAAACTGGCTTCCTTCCGTGATCTTCAGGTCTCAGCCTCCTGAGTAGCTGGGATAACAGGTGTGAGCCACTGGTGCCCAGCACAGTTTCACTTCTGAAAATAGTAACTACCTTAGAAACAAACAGCTTTTGACCAGTTTATAGTACTGAAAGGTAATAACCTTCTCCTAATGTTGTCCTTCACACTGGACCTTAACTCATTTTATCTTTTTTTTTTGGTCCGGTCATGGGGCCTGAACTCTGTGCTGGGGCACTGTCCCTCAGCTCTTCAGCTCAAGGCTAGTGCTCTACCACTTGAGCCACAGCGCCACTTCCGGCTTTTTTCTGTTTGCTTATGTGGTGCTGAGGAATCGAACCCAGGGCCTCATGCATGCAAGGCAAGCACTGTACCACTGAGCCACCTTCCCAGCCCCAACTCATTTTTATCTTGTTCAATGGTGAACTTTCAGTTCAGTTCCCCCCAGTCTCTTACCTTCTGCCTGCAGAAGGACATCACAAAACACACCACTCTGCTGCTGGTGATGAAGCTGGAGAAATGCTAACCGGAGGAACCGGGAGTTCCTATATAGGATTTTGGGATTGCCAGAAGAGCACATGTTGGTATTCTGTTAATAAATCTAAGTTTTCATGGATCCTGTGGGAGAGACAATATATTTTAGAGCATAATTAACCTAATTTGTTTTTTGTTTTAGAAACAGAGAAACTGAATACATGGTTTCATGTTCTTGCTGGGCATTTTTGCTCAATGCTGGTACTTTACCACTTGAACCACAACTCCACTCTTGGCTTTTTAAAAGGTTATTATAGGGGCTGTGAATATGGCTTAGTGGTAAAGTGCTTGCCTAGCATGCATAAGCCCTGAGTTCGATTCCTCTTTACCACATAAGAGAAAAAAGCTGGAAGTGGCTCTGTGGCTCAGGTGGTATAGTGCTAGCCTTGAGCAAAAGAAGCTCAGGGACAGTGCCCAGGCCCCAAGTTCAAGCCTCAGAACTGGCAAAAAAAATATTATAAAGTTTATAAGTTATATACAGAGGGGTTATTGTTACATGAGTCAGGTAAAGAGTTCATCTCTTTTTTAATTTAATTTTTTTATTGTTGTTATCAAGGTCATGTACAAAGGGGTTACAAAGGTAGAGTACATTTCTTTTTAGACAATATCACCCTTTCCCTTGCTCTGTCCAGGTTTTTGCCTCCCATCCCCACCCACAAGTTGATTAGTTCATTTTCAACATAGTGAGTATGACTGTTGCACCCTTCGTCCCTTATACCCTTCTAAAGACAGAAAAATGAACACAAAAGACAAAACCACAAGAAAACAAAAACAACAAAGAAAAACCTCTTGATTCCATTTCTTGGAGTTTATTTTAATATGATTTTATGTGATCAGAGACATATAGGCATTCTACCTTTTTGTTCCTCCCCTAAGAATATCCTCCTTTGATCTCACTGTATGTGAATGCCCAGAGACCTGTATAATTTATCAAGTCCTGGTATATTTTAGATCCAGCTTCTGCATATGAAAGAAAACATGCACTGTCTATCTCTCTGAGCTTGGCTTACCTCACTTAACATGATTTGTTCTAGGTCCATCCATTTCCCTGCAAATTGCATAATATTACTCTTTCTAATGGCTTGTAAAATTCCATTGTGTTTAGGTACCACATTTTTTAAAATCCACTCATCTATTGTAGGGTATCTGGGATGTTTCCATAAGTTGCCTATTATAAATAGTGCAGCAATGAACATGGATGTAAGTGTCTTTATGGCTTGCGATGTTCTGGTTAGATGCCCAGGAGTGGTATGACTGGGTCATAGCACTTCTGGCTTTTTGTTGGTTAACTGGAGATAAGAATCTCATGGATTTTCCTGCTCAAACTGAATTTGAACTGGGATTCTCAGATCTTAGCATCTCAAGTAGCTAGGATTATAGGTATGAGCTACTGGGGCCTAGCTTTGATAGAGCAGAGAAATTTTAATAGTAAGAAATAATAGTATGAATTGAGGAAACATAAGTCTGTGAGGGAGCTGTGCCAAGTATATCTCAAGAAAGAAGATCAGCTGGTGCTGGTGGCTCACAACTATAATCCTAGCTACTCAGGAGGCTGAGATCTGGGGATCATGGTTCAAAGCCAGCCTGGACAGTAAAGTCCCTAAGACTCATATCTCCAATTAACCACCAGAAAACTGGAAGTGGTGTTGTGGCTCAAAGTGCTAAAGCACTAGCCTTGAGTAAAAAGAGCTCAGGGACAGATTCCAGGCACTGAGTTCAAGTCCATGATGGACAAAAAGAAAAAGAAAAGAAAAAAAAGAAACAAAAAGAAAAAATAAAGGGCCAGGCGCTGGTGGCTCACAGCTGTAATCCTAGCTACTCAGGAAGCCGAGACCTGAGGATCATGGTTCAAAGCCAGACTGGGTGGAAAAGTCTATGAGACTCTTATCTCCAATAAACTATTCAGAGGACTGGGCATATGGCTTAGTGGTAGAGTGATTGCCTAGCATGCATGAAGCCATGGGTTCGATTCCTCAGTACCACATAAACAGAAAGGGACAGAAGTGACACTGTGGCTCAAGTGGTAGAGTGCTAGAATGCTAGCCTTGAGCAACAGCAGCTCAGGGTAAGTGTCCAGGCCAAGTTTAAGCCCCAGCACTGGCAATAAACAAAAAACAAATTACTCAGAGCCAGTAGTGGCACTGTAGCTCAGGTGGTAGAGCACTAGTCTTGAGCACAAATTGGCTCAGGGACAGTGCCCAGGCCCTGAGTTCAAGCCCCAGGACTGGCACAAAAAAAAGGGGAGAGAGAGAGAGAGAGAGAGAGAGAGAGAGAGGCCATCATAGTGTTACATGTGGAAGCTTAGAAAGTGATCATATTTGAATCTTGGCTCTATTATTTAATAGTCACAGTGTATAATCTGACATAGGTAACCTAAATTCTGGAAGTTTTGCTTTCCTTATCCATGAAATAAGAGTAACTACTACAATGTTAGTATTTACATAAGAGTACTTACATTGTAGTACTGTTTTCAATGAGTAAATACAGATAAAATTGCTTAGCACAAAAGTAACTACCATTCTTCAAATGGTAGCTATTATTTACTATCTTGCTCATTTGTATCAACACTAAGACTCAATTCCTTCTGTACTAAATACTCACTTGCTTCCTGGGCATATCCCAGTTTTACAGGTATTACCCTCAATCCAACATTTTAATAATAAAGCACTGTGTATAAAACTATCTCCAGGAAGTGTGGTGTACTTTCTTTTGTCTGTGCTCACTCTTATCACACTAACCAGTAGAGGGTGCACAATAAAGAGAAGACTGGACTACAGCAGTAAGACAATAAGGATATTGCCACACCTGGTCCAAACTTGTCCTGCTGGGTGCGCTAGAGGTTCACACCTGTAATCCTAGCTACCCAAGAGGCTGAGATCTGAGGATCACTTTTCGAAGCCAGGCCAAGTAGGAAAGTCCTCTTACCTCCAATTAACTACAAAAAGCCAGTAGTGGAGCTGTGGCACAAGTGGTAGATTGCCAATCTTGATGGAAAAGGCGAAGGGAGACACACAAACAAAATGTGGACTTTAGGGCTGAGGCTATAGCTCAGTAGTAGAGGGTTTGTCTAGCATGCACAAGGCCCAGTGTTCACTCAGGTGGGGAGGGGGAAGAATGGCCTTTAGGTCTATTAGATTAATGATCAGACCAATGATGGAGCATTATACTCCTCCCTACACTGAAAATCCTGACATCTGGCCTATTACATCTTTTGCTTTGTTGCACCAGACCCTTCACCTCTCACTGCACAGTTGTATTCCTTTCCTGGCATGAAGTTTTCTGGCAGGTGGCATTGACGGTCCACTAATTCATGGCAAAACTATCGGTGCAGAAAGAATAGTGGAAAAGGCAAATTAAGATTGGGCAGATTCAGTTCCAATGTGAGTGGAAGAAGCAGCTGTTGCAAGGGTCCTGGGGTACGCTTCACAAAACACCAGTGCCTGGCTGTGCCCTGAGACTCAAACCTGAAATATTCTTTGTTGTTGTTGGTGGTGGTGATCGTGGGGGTTGAACTCAGGCCTGGGCGCCATCGCTGAGCTCCTTTGCTCAAGGCTGGCACGGTACCATTTGGAACCACAGTGCTACTTCTCATTTCTGGTGGTTAGTTGGAGATAAGAGTCTCAGGGGCTTTCTTGACCGGGTTGGCTTCGAACCGCAATCCTCAGATCTCAGCCCCCTGAGTAGCTAGGATTATAGGCGTGAGCCATCGGCGCCAGGCTCTGAAATAGTTTTGCAGCCGGATTTGCTCCTGTTGCTCTCTCCTTCTCGCTCTCGCTTTCTCTATGCTTGAGACCTCTGTCCAGCCAGCCCCATCTTGCCTCCTGCGAGTATCAGCCCAGTGACCAGAGTCTGAGGTTCTGTCTAGAGCCAAGGGAAGGAGGTGCGGGTGTCGGGAAATGAGGGTGTCACTTCAGGCCCTGCAGAGCGGGGTGCCCCCACAGGCTCCATCCCCTGCCCCTCTGGCCCCCTCCCCGGCCCAACTCCTTTGAAGAGAGCGATTCGGCGCGAAGGTTTCTGGGAATGGAGCGTGGGGATCCCGGAGGCCCGAATCCAGGGGTGGTTCTCACGGCCACCTACGGGGCCACACAAGCTTTGCAGTCGCTCCCTGACGCCCTGGTACCACTGTGGGTTCCAGTCAACTCACTCACATGCACTGGACGATGCTGACACTGAGGGCTTGAGTCCACGCGGCTGACGCCACAGACCGCGCGCGCCGCCACCCTGGCGCACGGTGCGGTGCGTCGCCGGCCCCGACGTCCTTCTTCCTCCGCGGGAGCTCGTAGTCTACGTCTTCCTGAATACGTCATCCCCATTGGCCGAAGTCTTCCGAGACAACCAATCAGAGGAGGAGGAGCGCTTTGGGCGGGAGGCTAAGTCTCGAGGGACTTGAGGGCGGAGGGAAGGCTGCGTGGCCTCGGCCCGGGAGAGGTTAGGGGGGGGACGGGTCTGCTGGGAAGGGGATCCTGTGGGAGCCGTCCACACACTGAAAAGAGGGTCAAGGTGCTCGAATAAGTTGGGACCCATGAAATTTAAGGACATCTCCTGGTTTCTGTTGAGGAGACTGCAGATGACCTTTGGCCCTGGTAAGATGGGCCTAGGCTTCATGGAGGGAGAAGCCTCTGCATAACTGGACTTGCACCTCGTCCCTCCCATCCCTCAGGTGAGGCCAGAGGAACGAGATCTTTGGGCTCGTTTCTTGATTAGTCTTTCATTTTTTTTCCTTTTTGGCCTGTCTGGAACTTGAACCCAGGAGTTCGCACCTGCTAGGTAGGTGCTCTGCCACGCGAGCCACACGTACGGCTCTCTGTACTAATTTCCTTTTTTTTTTTTTGGTGCCGGTATTGGGGCTTGAACTCAGGGCCTCGCCTTCATGCTTAGCTTTTTCACTCAAGGCTGCTGCTCTCCCACTTGAGCCACACCTCCATTTGTTGCTTTTTTTTGGTGGTTAATTGGAGATCCGCGTCTCATGGACTTTCCTGACTGGGCTGACTTGGAACTGTGATCCTCAGATCTGTCTCCTGAGTAGGTAAGACAGGTTCACAGGCT